AAAAACAAAAATTAGAACGGCAAATGAAAACATGCAACGGAAATGCATGAACAATATGCAACATTAGAAGTTAAACAAAATTAATTTATTGCTTACAATGTGACAAATAAACCAGAAATAATAATCAAAGAAAGCTTAGAAAGAACTCCCATGTGCTGAGAGTATTGGAGACACATTAAATATAATTCGAAATTACTTAGCTGAAAACTAATTATGCAAATCAGAAAATTAATATGAACAGATTTGAGTGTAAAACTAATGAGGTCTGCGCAATGTAACAGAAAATCTATGTTTCCAAGTTTAATTGAAATGTGATTAGAACCAAAAAATTATGAATTATTATGCTTATTAGGGAATTAATATGAACAGATTTTTACCCCAAACTAATTAGGTTTGTACATTGTCCTAGAGCATCTTTGTACTAAGTTTCATTGAAATGGAATAATTAGTACTTTAGTTTTCATGACAGAAATGCAATAGCGGTGATAAAAGATGGTAAAAAAGTTGGCAGTCTTCGGCGTGACATTGCAAAATTGCTGGCCCCAGTTATGGATTCGCAAGCTGCTACCCAATATTTTATAAAGCCAAAATAACGTGATTTCAACCACTTTCCCAGGTACGGGTTGCTACAATATTGCAACATTGGTTTCATTGTCGACGACGCTAAAGCCGAACGAGTGCGAGACTTGCTTAGCGGCTCTTCTTGTACTATTTGCTTGAATCGTTTCTAAGGAAGCACAAACTAAACGGCCGGCCCTTTTTAGGACCACGACATATTTCAAAAAGAGAACTACCGTTTCTGCTTTAATATATATTTTTATAGACTTGCTGACTGTTATGATTCTGAAAAAAATCAGCGGTGAACGCGCTGCCCTGAAGGCAGAAAGCTGTCACAGCTATTTTGCGTACACCCCTTGTTTTACCCAATTAACAATTACCGGTATATTTAAAGAATTTTTATAAGCATCACGACAGACTTCAAGAAAGTCAACTATTAAATACAACCACAGTCAACGAATAGAAAATAATTTTTTTGTTATTTTTTGTGTAGAAAAAGATATGACCTCAACTTCTTTATTGTGTCAAAAGTGGGGAGTGGGCCCAGGCATGGGCTCTTACCCGGATAAGTACGGTAATGTATTTTTGTAACATACAAAATTATTTTCTGAAAAAAAATTTAACAAGAAATTAAATCATATTACTGATCCTCAAACAGTTTCAGTAATCTATAAAAGTTTCATGATTTAGTGACAAAACTATTAGACAACATGCATAAATTTATGTAGTTCAATCTAATTTCTTGTTTTATTTAGATGACTTGGCGCCCATTAATTGACGAGCTCGTTTCAGTAAATAAATGAAAAGAATCTTCTCAAATTTGTATGCTGTTCCATTTCTGCTCAAATAGGACACAAATACTGTGGGAGTGAATGTGTTATAGACATGCATTAGTGTTGTATCCTGGGGGTGCAGCTGTTTTCAACAAGAAGTTGAAAATATCACTTTTTGCCAAAAATTACAAAAATATTCATCAAAATTAGAGAATTGAAGATATTATCACAAAATTAACAAATCTAAGAGAGGTCTGCCCAAGGTACATATACACCAAGTATCAAAGCAATAAGAAATGTAGTTTTCAAAAAAGAAGTTGAAAATGTAAAAAGTTGACACGGACAACGGACGTTGACAGACAATCACTCATATGATAAGCTCCGCTCGACAAAGTCGACACTCCAACGCACATCTGAGAAAAAAAGAATTCGACCACACCATTGTTTTAATAATTTACATACTATTTCCACCATCTCAATGTCATAACTATTTTTATATGTTGTATAATAACAATAAACTTAGAACTGGCTAACAAAGTGTGCATGAACGCTTATAGCTCAGGCTAAGAACCCAAAACGCCATTGTATTCAATGTTCATTTCAAAGATTTACTAATTATATTCAGAACTATTCATTTTGGTATGCCATTTCCAACATGACAATCAAAACAAGCACATCTATAGATATTGTTCTCGAGAAAAAAATGAAACAACGATGAGAAAATGTGATAATGTAAAATTTGTATTAGAAGCTGCGGCTTCTATTAAAATGGTACAATGCAACAGAAGGGATGCGGATTCTATTAGAGCATCTACACATATGAGTAATGGTGAATTTTTGGTTCTCAATTATTCAAAAAGAATGGGTGCAACTTCTATTAGGGATGCAGCTTCTAATACAGATTTTATGATACTCCCTGTTATTCTGCAATCTGCACTTTCTGAATTTGCTGTGGTATTGTTGTATAACCATAGAACTAACATGTATACCTTCCTAGTTACTGAACTGAGTAATCATAATTAAAATAACTTTAGATTGTTATACTCCTGGGCGTTCCTTAGCCCGCGTTCCTTAGGCCATACAAACTATTGTTTCCTCCCATGCGTTAACACAATTGGAATATGAGATACAAAATTAATTTAAATATTAGCTCCTATCGGTACTTAGTGTAGCTTGAACACTACTATTGACCCCTGTCCAAATAAGACTTTCACAAATCTATAATACAGCAAAGATAATCCTACAAATACAAATACTGTGAAATACTTTTATTTAACTGGAATTAATTTTCACTGAAAAGACTTTTTGAGTGTTTTGTATGGAATTTATTTTCACTGATTTTTGGAAAGTTGAATATAAAATATAGGGAAAAAAGGTATATTCGCTGGATTTTATTTTCACTGAATCATCCCTGTACGTTTCTTAGCAACCATGGTTGCATCAGGAAGCCATGACGTTTTAGAGATTTTTACTACATGAACGATAAACATGGAAACATAATCAACACTAATGAAAACCAAACACTTCCGAGATAACTGAATATTTCTAAAACATGAAGTATTACCATTTTCGCTCTCAATTATGCACAAAAATAAAATGAACTGAAACTTACCCTCCGGAAGACTTTTGTTTGGCACAAAGTATGAGATCAGAATAAAGGAAGATTGCACGTAGTTTCCGGTTGTTATGTTCCGGCAATTCTACTATGTAATTTTCTTTCAGGAACTTTCTCCTCTGTGATATAAGAAAATGACAAGTTGAAATTGTAATTTGCTGGTTCGGAAGTATGTGCAGTAATTTTCTTTATCATTATCGCTGACATTTGATGAAATTCTTCATTCACAAGTTCAGAGTTCAATAACCATCATGCGGTGGGACTCAATATGTCAGGTGATCTCATACAGCCCAAAACAGTCAAACAAAGTTTGGGCACCATAGTTTGTCCACTCAAATAGTTTTTTTATATTTGTATTCAATTTTTTCAATAATTTTGGACCAAATAGACTTGCATAGCTTACATGTATGTTGACTTGTATGCAGAATGTCAGGAAAATATTTCTGACAGTAAAATGATAGAAAATAGTAAATGATTTAAAATTACTTTTTTACTCTTGGAAGGTCTCTTGTTTTTGTTTTTATATTTAGCTTTCAGTTTTGCAGGTTCGTTGACTTGATATAAGAAGTCTTCGGATATTTTCAGAGCCTCTTCAATGTCTTTATAATCTGCACTGTCCTGTGGCGTGTGTTTCAATAAATCCTAGAAATCAACGAAAAACAATTTTGAGAAACTTTAACTTGAAAAAATAAATAACACTCAATTGACTTTCGATGCAAAAGACCGTTGGTGTCATGTTTAGAGCGAGAGAACAAAAAATCATAACGCCGCCCAGATAGTTTTTTATTTTCTCCCACCAATTAATTGTGTTCACCCCTCCCCTGACCTATGTACCAATGATGCAATGATGAACATTACTTGAGAGGAAAAAACATGTATTCTCACTTTTAACAAGATCTTAGCGGCTGTCAATTGACATTACATCGTTTAATAGTCAAACAGTTGAAGGGTTGATATAGTTCACTGCCTCATTTAATATTTGACTTAAACTACATCTGAACGTGTTTCCAAATGTTCACATCCATCCAAACATTTAATTGATGCAGCAACACCTCATTGATATACAAATTTTAAAAAATTAGTTTCAGACATTTTGGGCTATTATCTCTATTTTTAGTACAAGTAGGTTATCACAAGAATACTGCAAAGTATGCATTCAGGCAGCACAGGATTGCATCAACCAACACATATGCAATCACTGTATTGCCTGCCATGAGTGCTTTGCTGTATTCTTATGAGAAACTCATAATACTTACAGCTAATGTTAAAGTCATTTTTGTGACTCTTTGTAAAGGTTTGTACAGCAAGCCTGTGGAAAAACAAATGAGGAAAGCAGTCAACATCCACCAACAATAACAGTGTTGAATTGTCATCACCACAAGACGTTGTATTAGCCTGGTTACATTTCTATTGTTTTATGGACTTCCACAGTCATAGGCTGATCGATCATGATGTTGATTGGTTGATAAATATAGCACGCTGCTAATCTGAATATGCTAATTTTCCAAACAATAGATGACCATGACTTGATAGGCTGATAAATATAGCACACTGCTAATCTGAATATGCTAATTTCCCAAACAATGGATGGCAGTCATATGCTCTCCGCATGGGCTGTACCAATTGATAGTTGCCACAGAAACGATAGTGTGTTCATCCCATTTTTTGTGATTTTTTTATGCAACATTTCCAGAATATTGGAGAAGACCCTATGAAACTATGAGATGTTAACCAGGCTAACGTCATATCAACTAGAGCATGTATTTAATGTTTGAAATTACTGCCCGCTCGTACACCACCGAGAAGAGTAACTTTCAAGCTGGGCTGGTAAAAATAAAAACTTGCATAGAAACAAACGAAACAAAAATTAAGTGTATAACAACAAAAAAACAAGGCGAAAAAAATCATGCTGTCAAAGAAAACAACTAGGCAGAACGAGATTTACAAACAATCAAAGGGAATTCGATTCTCACTCTGACTGGATAAATCAGACTACTCAAATTGGGATGAAAACGATGATAAACAAAGACACTAGAATCACTCAGACCATTGTAGTCAAGTTTTTTTGCATTAAACAAAGTAATTTTGTGTGCGTTCTTTGAAATGGAATAGAAGTATTTGAAAAAAATAATACAGGGCTAGTAAATCTCTGGCAGGGCTGGTTAAAATCACAATTTTTTTGAAATTTCTAATACTGCCATTTTGTTACGAATATCTACCCACCTTCCAGGGACACATTATTTTCTTTCGAAGATGGTTTTGGGATGTTCAAGGTGACCTTCTGGAAATCTTCGCTTTCGTTACGACACTTGTACACAGTCTCCATAGCTTTACCATAGTTGTTGAAGTACTCCCCATAAATCGATAGTCTACGTGACTGAACAGAAAGATGAATAATTGTATTTAACCTTCGTCCAATGACACCGACAGCATTTCATAAAATCTATCATTGTTTATACATACATGTGTACAGATCAACGTTTGTGTGTGCGTTCACACGAACTCTAGTTTCACAGACATGCGCTGATTGATTTTGTTTGAATGTAGTACGAGGATAATTTTTGTATGTGTGATAATAATTTTTGTTTTTGCACTAAACATGTAACATGAGGTTGGCTGATTGACGGCCATTTTATTGTAAAAACCACATGTTCTTATTCATTTTTTGGATTCAATATGCTATTACCGGGTAATTGACTTTTTAATTTTGAAATTTATTTTAATATTTGTTTTTATCAATATACATGTACATGTACTTGACAAGCTAAATGTCAAAAGATAATACTGACTATTAAACAAAGTAATTTACAGGCAATATATACGATTGAATTTATGTGTATTGAAATTATAGCTTGATAACTACTAATATAGCTGCAATTCAGAGCTTTGTTTATTTATGAGGATAAAACATATTGATTTCAAACTTACATGATATGAAGATGGAGTATTTTTCTACAATGTTTTAATAATTTTTGACCAAATTGGTATAATTTTCGATTGGCTACATGTTTTGAACTGGTTTAATTTCATAAAAAGTGACAAAAGTTTACTATGGTCAAAGGTTAAGAATAGTTAATTACCGGTAATAGTAATATTAATTTAACCAAATTAACAAAGATTCTACTTCTTTTTACCAATTTGAGAATAGAGTTGGGATTAGCATTTTTGCATGCTGATGCAACTTCTTCCTGAAAAGTCTTTTATGATAGACCAGTTTGGCTGAGCAGAATACTTTTCCCAATATCGACTATCAACACACTTTTTGTTTGCCCTGTGGTTGACCCTGGGTCAAAGTTTGAGCTAACATGAACTCTCCACTAGAACAAGTTGCAAATAAAGAAGTACTGATTTTGTTTGCTAAAAAGGCAAGGACTCAATTTATGATATACCAGTACATGCCCCCCCCCCCACCCCATGATACATAAATATTCTATCCTAAGATATTTTTACAATGTAATGTGAAACCTAATTAGGCCAGACTTTTTTTATTCTTTGTTTCTCGAGTTTTTATAAGGCAATTTTTTTTTTTCCATTAGATTTGTGTGATTCTCAAAGAATTGCAAGTGAGATCATTGATCGAAGAGAAGAAATGAAATAACATTTTATTCCATGTATAATCTTGTTTCTCATCTGTGCGAGACTTCGGTACTTTGATCATAATACTCCCATGAAAATGCAACTTGGATTTGGTATGCGGCGGGCGAAAAAAAAATGAAGATAAAAATAATTTTTTTTTTAGTAATTTTTTCCACTTACAATTCGGCGGGCGCGAGAAATTATGCTGAAGTAAAATTTTATTTTTATTTCATTTTTGGCTCCAGTTCATTCGGCGGGTTCGCGAAACAAGGGATAATAAAAGTCTGGCCTTAAATTAAGATGCACCGCAAAACATTGACAAAATGATATGTATTGCTATTATGCTGGCATCTATTCAATTGTTAAAATGTTAATAACATTATACATAACTGTATAACTGTAGAAAGCATGCGTATCCTTAAATTGACACAATATTTGGTTACATGGTGCCATCTGATTCCTAACCAGAATATATGTACATCGTATAAACAATGTACAAATCCAAACTATTTTCAAGTTTTATCACATCACATATTTTATTTCCATTTATTTTGGCTATCTGTAGAGGCTTTCAGCCAACAGTGTGTTAAATAAATCTGAAACAATGGTGATTCCATAAATAGCATTAGCGATTATGTTTAGACTGAATATTAAATCAATTTTATTTGTCGTGTTGTATCAACTTTGAAGTGAATATTTGCCACGTTCACATGGCAGCATTCTATCGGAGCCAAACTACTGCTCCTCCCACCGATTAACAGGAGATTGTTCAGTCGTTCTTTCAAGTTTTTGCCGCATAATTTTGTACGCCATTTTTTCTGTTTCCCATTGCAGTATTTCTTTACTCTGCCAAATAGATATTAGTGCACATACCTCTTCGTCAAGTCGAAAATCATGTGAAATTACGAACGATGTTGTCTTTGCCTTAATTAAAATGAGAGGTTACTTGAAGAAGACGATTGAAAGCGTTATTTGGGCTCAGATAGTTGCGCCCCGATGCGTATACACGGTCCGGCCATATCGGGGCTCAACTCTATCAGAGTTCAAGCCAGATGGTTTAGTGGAGCCGAACTTGGCTCGAGCCAAACTCGTATGCACAGCCATTTTTGCTGGCTCGAGCAGTAGGGCTCCGATAAAATGCTGTCGTGTGAACATAGCAATTATGTATAGATTTACAAAACATAGACACACAGACATTAAACGAGATTGGCTCGAGCAAGTGATGAAACTTACCGACTCTAGAAATAGATCTCCTACTATTTGTGATTCATTCCAGTTATCCACTCTTTCCTTCAAGGCATTATAAAATTCTGTGCTGAGCCTGTAGAGCTCTTCAATTCCGAAGAAAATGACCTGGTAATCGGCATTAGACATTGCTGGCTGGGAAGTCGTGGAAGAAGCCAACAACACTCTCATATACTATCATGGGAAGAAAAAGGACAAATTTTATAAAGAGTGATGTACCAATACTGTAAAAGGGTTAATTATTCACTTGGTTTTAATTTTGCTTATATCGCTGATTGAAAATTAAAACCCAGTGAATATGTAAAATTTAGCATAGATAACATTATCTAAATGATGAAAACCGTGAATTTAAAACCCGCTAAATATGCTTAAAATGATAAATCAGCGAAATTTAAACCCAGTGAAAATTTGTCATTTTACAGTACGGTACTAGTGATAATAATGTCCTAGTACTATGGACTCATTAATTAATATTAAAGTGTGGCGATCATGGTATCTCATCACATTAGATGATTTTCCCCCACAGACCCAAAAAATCAGATGGTATCAGTGTAGGAAATTTGTCCAGATTACATACCAGACATCAGGGCTGGTAACTTTCAAAAGTTACAAGCCCTGCTAAAATGTTACCAGTCCCGCA